AATATACCTTGCCAGGGTCTTTTTAATGCTGACCATTATGGTCGTAATACTTCCTCAGGCAGCTGTGTCAATACAGTTGAGACACCAAACATGTCAAAACCACATAAAATCTTTATTAAGGTGAAATTAAATGAGCAAGCCTGACTCAGTAACTTAAATAGATATTATCCTTCAAGGACACCAGACCTAAAATGCAGACGCAGTTTACAAATCCAGGGCATACAAAGTTAGGATTAAATGAATGAGAGACTCAAACTTTTGCCACAGAGCCTGGGCAGGAGGAATTCAGGAGAACAGGAGTTGCTGTTAGAGTGCTCTGGACACCTGCTCTTTGTTTTTTATTGCAGTATTGACCTGAGCTAAAAAAGTGCATTGAATCTGGGGCAGGCAGGAGAAGAGTTATTGGCACAAGCATTCAGTCTCCCTCTGCTCAACAAATTAACCTGGATTGAGCAAAAGAAAACATAAAATTACTTATTTGCATGTGGTGTGAGATGACAGTGAATGGGGCTGCCCTGGGTGGCACCACGATGCGTGGCACTGCTGAGGGAGGGCATATGGGTTTTGCCGATGAGGGAATGGAAAACCTTTCAACCCTGCCCAGTTAAATACAACCTGACAGCTTTGATCCCTCCTCCCATAACAGTGTGGTGCCTGCTACAGCGAGGCTGTGCATGCAAGCACATGGAGAGCTTAAGGAGAAAACCAGAGTGACACAGGTTTGGAGGCAATGCATCCTGCTGCTTCGCTACCTGTGGGACAGCATCTCCATGCACCCTTCCATAGCTTCCCTGCAGCTCAAGCAGCTTCTGCCCCCTGCACTTTCCTGGGGTTACTGTAGGAGGTGATGGTCTCGGGTACCTCCAAAGCAGCAGCACGTGTTTGGTTGGAGCTGGGGCTCGCTGCTGCCCAGCCACACGTGAGCAGCCAGGCCCAAGGCTGCGAGGGAGCTTATGTTCTGGGAAGTACCAGCATGAGAGTGGAATTAAACCTCAGGAAAAAAGAGCAGATGCTGGGCTGGAGAGCAGCCTGTCCCCAGGCACCCTGCTCTTGGTGAGTGGTTTGCAAAGTCTCACACTGCAGAGAGCCAGCCTGACCACAGGGCCATCCTTGTGCTGCATCATCCTGCTGGGTGTCTTTCTTCTCCCAAATCCTCCCAAGCGCTTTCAGATCCTGCAAAGGCATCAGTGCTGTGCTCACGTGGAGAATCTGGCTACAGGACTGCAGGGTACTTCCAGCTTGGTGCCTGCTGCCAGCCAGCCTCCCCCCAGCCTTGCACAGGGGCTGCAGCATCATGTATTTTCACCTGCCAAAAGGAGACCATCAGAGGAAAAGTAGGACTTGTGAGAGCTGCCAGGGACCTGGGAAAGAAGAGCTAGAGCTCACACCCCTCTCACCTTGCCAGTGCCCTTGGCTGTGGAGCACACCAGCACATAGGTCAATGCAGGAGAAAGGCACTTGTGCTGCTGAGAGCTGAGTACGAGCTCCCAGGTGGGTAAAATAGCTGGTGATTCAGCCCAAGGCAGCGAGAAGGGTGCAGGTGCTGCAGGTAACATGAGGCTGTTGGGACACAAGAGCTGGGTCCAGACTCTTCTCACAGTTGGTGTCAGGCATGCAGCAGCGCAAGCCTGTTGGTGCCTCTTCATCCAAATGTTTGGCTGGGGAACAGGACCCAGATGGATTTCTCTGGGCTTGATGCTTCGCAACATCCTGGGATGGCTTGCTTTGCTCCACTTACTTGTGAACTCCCGTTTTTCAGTTCTGCAATGCTTGGGAAGTGGATGTGTTCAGATCAGGCCATCTCTGAGGCTAGGAAGTGATTGCAGATCATTCATGGCTGTACAGAATTGGAACAATTAGCTGTCTTTCAGGACCAGCCTAGCAGGAAGGCTCAGAGAGGCTGGGGTTTTCCATCTCCATAGGGTGCCACCAATCCGGTGTCCCTGCAAGCTACAGAGTGGCTCTTGGTACTTCAGGGGCTGTCTCTTGGCTTGGAAGGAGCATTCACCTCAGCACTTCCCAGAGGGTCAGTAACTGAAAGGACAGCATCAGTTGGGTCCCTGAAGCACCGCCAGCTTCTCCCCTCCAAGGGCATGGGCTTCCTTGTGCCTGTGGCCTGTTTTCCAATGCCAATAAGGGATGCTGCCCATGTGGGTCTTCCACTGGAAGGCTGGGAATTTTGTCCTTTCTTCTGCATTGTTGTCATGCTGCTTTCACTTCAGCAGGTGGGAGTCTATAGCTTGCCAGGAGGATTTCGCATTTCACAAAGGAGTTCTTTTACCAACACACCTTCTCAACAGAAAGCTGAAAAATTGCTCAGTTCCAGCCTATTTAGTTTTAATTGTTTCCTTTAGTTCTCATTGCCCATGGCAAAATATCACCTTTCCCTAACAAACCGCCAGGCAGAGAGCCAGTCACCCTGCACAGCCACCACCACCACCGTGCCGTCCCTCCTCAAGTCCCATGGCTCCCAAAGGTCTTGTCTCTGCTGGGCAGGGATAGATTCTGGGGAGGAGGCAGCAGTGTTTGCATTGCCCTCAGCAAGCACTGGGCAAGGAACAGGTGAAGTGCTCCCATTGCTGTGCTGTCTCCATGTCTCCGAGCTCTTTGCTGGCTGCTTTGGCTCTCCCCTCTGCTCACAGACACCACCACCACACTGCCCTTCCCAGCTAGCACTCCTCTACCCTGCTTCCCAGCCTTACTCCATCAGTTTCTATGGAGGGGCCAGCTTGTAACACTTGTTTCTGAGACAGCTTTGAAAAGAAAGAGTTGTGTTGCTGGGTAAGAAACATGATGCAGACAGAGCCCCTGGGGGATGTTGAACAGCAGAAGACAAGAAAAACCTTCCCTTTGCCACAGAGCGGTCTTCAAGCACCAGTGAGCCCATGTGCCTTTACAGGAACGATGCAGTGCATCGCATTCCAGGTGAGCATTGCCTCCATCACCTTCTCATCCCACTCCTGCTCCTAACACAGGGGCTCAGGGCAGCCATTCCCCAAGGACACCCCTCTCAACAAAGACAACACCGTATCAGCAGTGAAAAGCAGGGTCTTGCAGCCTCGGGAAAAGGTTGTGGTGACTCCTAAGTCTGCTTGGAGATTATAGCACAGCAGGGATAAAGCACTATTCCCATGCAGGCTCCATCCAGGGAGCACAGCCAAACATTCCTCCAAGCAACCTTAGCAACAGATCAGGCTCAAAGGATATGAGCGTTCCACCATAAGGCATGGCTGCAGAGCTAGATATCAGGCTGAGAAGGAACAAAAATACACACAACAACCTGTCAGAGTAACCCCCTGGTAATTCATTTTATCCTCAGGATAAATTACCACTGCGGGTGCAGCCTGATGCTGAGCACTGCCTGAGCCGCATGTCCCAGCCCTGGGCACAGCACTGCGCTGCCAGTAGCTGCAGGGTTTCCTACACTCAATTCTGGGGAAGAGCTGTAAAATAAAGCCTCATAAATTAATTACCTGAAAGAGTGGCAGAATGTTATTAGATACTCGGGAGTTAATTGCAGTGGTGTTAATTGCATGTATTTTAATGGCTCCAGTAGAGATGTAATATGTAATTCCATAGGTATTCCAGAATAATTTAGCAATTTAATTAATTTCTGCTAATACCTTTTAAATCACCTGCCCTTTTCCTCTTGTTTTCTCCAAGGGAAAGGATGAAGAAACTTTTCCAGTTGGCTAAATTTATTGCAAATTCACTTTTGTTGGCAAAGATACCGTTTGATTTCTCAGCAGATTTATTCCCAGTAGAGAACCCCACAAAGCCATCCCTGGGTAACAGGGTGGCAAAGCAGGGCTGTAATTGCCTGGTCCTTCAATATTTTGGACAGATGATGATGGGCTGAAAAGATGAAGACTAAAATAATTTGTCAATTTAGGTCAAAATCAGTGAGCAGAGCCAGAAGAAAATGTGGAAGAGAAATGTAAACAGCATCAGCCATTTTATTCTGACTCCTCAAAATGAAATGTTTGGTTTAGAAAAAGCAAAAAATCCCATTTCAGCACGTTTGAGACGCAGCTTTTCTGCTTGCCTCCTTGCGCCTCCCCCCAGGTGCAGGCAGCTGAGAGGTGCCCAAGCCCTGGGGCAGCATTTCGGCTGGAAAAGCCATTTTTTTGCTTGCTGAACCCACCACTAGATGAGTGCAGGGCACAGCACCTCTTGGGATGGTACTTGGAGTCCAGGGGAGGTGGATGTAGGAGCAGAGAAGGGATTTGAGTTGTACGGAGCTGCCCTCCGAGCTGCCCCCTCCCTCCCCACACTGGCAGAAAAGAGACCACCAAAAGCCATTGCTCTCATGGGGCTTTTATTGTCCGGCTGGCCCTCACCTCCCACCACCTGCCCACAGCCAGCCAAGCCCATCACCACCACACACACCAGAGGAGGAGACCCATGCCCATCCCCAAGGCCAACCACCTGCCCTGGGCAGCACATGCTCTTGTTTGAGGTTTGTTTCCTTTTCTTCTTTTCTTTTTTTGGAAATACTTTATTTTAAAAATATAGTAGCTGTGGAAAGCAGCCCTCTTTATAAACGCTCGATGCCAGAGTGAAATGCATCATCGCCAGCCTCACTACGAAGCCCTCCTGGGTGCCCGCCTGCAGCAGTGCCGGTGGGGCCAGGGCAGCGGCGCCGGATGCTGCAGGTGGGGAGGCTTGCAACGGCAGGGAGAGACCCTTCTAAAAATAGAAACATTGTGCTGAGTTGTTTGGAGTGAATGAAATCCATAAAATGCCAGCATTAGATCAGCGTCAGCTTGTCAAATATTGCTCCCAGCAGGGTTGGCGTGATGCACTGCTTGAAGCGCAGTGCCCCTTGTCCTGTGGTGAGGGACCCATGCTGGCTCCCAGCCCTGCTCCCTGCCACAGGGCTTGCTGCTCTTGGCCATCGCCAACCCACAAGGACACTGGTCCCTGGGGCAGCCCAGAAGCCCCAGGGAGCCACTATAAATAGGAAATTGTAAACACAACCATTGGAGATAAGAGACATCTACAATCACAGGGTTTACTGGTTCAAACGTCCCACTTTCCCCCCCAACCCATACACCTATGCCCCTGTCCCCACTCAATAAAAAGGTCTTCAGTAACAAAATCTTCGTTCCAGGCTTGGGGTAAAGGTGAGGTTCTCAAGGAGTAAAAAGGGACTTTGCAACCCTAGCAGTCTTTGCTCAGGAGTGATGGTGGCGGGAAGGACAGACGGAAAGGGTTAGCTGGTTCAGGTCCTTTGCAAGTTCATTTGGTTTGTCTGGAGGACTCCTAGGGTTATACCTGAGATGAAGACGTCTAGGGGACACTCCATAGCTCAATTACAACGTGGTCGGTGTTTTGTGCCTAGAAGAGCCCTCGCTGGTGGGATTTGTCCATCTTGCTTGCCCATGCAGCGAGAAAGCAGCATCCCTCCTCTGCTTGGCACAGGGCTATCTGAACCAATGCTCAGCTAGGGGTGACCCCTCATGTGTCAAGGATCTCCCTCGTGGGTGATGGCTCGTGAGGGATGCCCTGTGTGCTGTGGATGCTCTGGCTGTGGGAGAGGGAGTTCTGCTGGAGCTTCCAGAGGAAACTCCTTCACCTGACGCTTGTACTCGAGGAAGGTGCATGCCTTGGTGGCAATTGCGATGATGTTCTTGCCAATAAAGATGGTGGAGACCCTGCTGTCCTGGAACAAGACCATGTTGATAGCCCGGATGAAGATGGTGACGATGTTAATGGTGACCAGGCTGAGGACGGGGTAGAGCATCATTTTTTGTGGGGCAATGTGCTCCCCTTGCATGCTGATCTCACTGAGGGACACACAAGGCAGGATCAGGAGGAGTATGTAGCAGTAGAAGAACATGAGCCCCTCTGCCCAGATGGGCAGGCCGGTCCTGTGCGGCTCCCACAGGTTGGCCTGGATGTCCAAGATATCTAGCAGGTCAAGGGCCACCCAGAAGAGGCGTCCCCGCAAGTCCTCTTTCTTCCGAAAGGTCCGTATGTACTCCATGCTGTCCAAGGCCACCAACACCAGGTAGAGCCCGGGCACACAAATAGAGAGGAGCAGGGTCAGGGCTTTCCTAGCCACTGTCTCCAGGTTCTTTTTGTCTGCTTTGTAATTCTGAAAGATGAAATACAGCTTGATCTCCAGCACAAAGATGTAGAGGAACCACAGGATCATGGCATAGCCCCGCTTGGCCGTCTTCACCTCTGCCCCCACCCACACTGCCACGTAACGCAGCACGATGAGGAAGCAGATGTCCCCCACCAGCACGATGATGCAGACACCAATCTTGCGAGGCCCTTGGTTCTGCTCCACCAGGTACGCGTCCATGAAGGCCATGCTGGTCATGATGACGATGGTGGTCAAACAGACATGGCGCTTGTCGGGCGGTGGCAGCACCATGATGAGATGAGCAGCCCTCCCTCCACACCAGCACTAGGGGAGCGGTCCTGTTGGAGGGGCAAGGGGGTACATCCACAGCGAGCCAGGGACCAAGGGCTGCTCTGTCTGCCAGCCCCAGGAAGAGATCCCTCGAGGAGCAGCAGCTCAGCTCCCACTCTCCTGGGGTTCTGGGCTGCCCCTGCAGACCCTCTCCCAGCTCTTCACCCTTTGCTGGCTCTGCCCTGCAAGCACCTCAGCTCTGCCACCAGCCCTGGCTTGCGAAGCAACCCAGGCACCCTCCGCCAGCAGCAGCCAGGGCTCACAGGCATGCAGGGCCTCCTGGGCAGATGTCCCTCCTCTGTGGTGGGTCCCCCATTGTTGTCAGGCTCTCCTGCAATCCCACAGCACTAATGCACCTCCAGGTGTCGAGCCCCAAATCCTGGTACAGATCCCTGGAAGTGCGGTAGGTAACCAGGCAGCAGGCAGACCTGGCTGGCAGGGCAGGAAAGGGAGCTCTCCTCTCCCCAGCAAGAGCTCACACTCCTCCGTGGTCTGGGGGTGTTCTGCTGGGTCCTCACAGGGCACTACCTTCACATCTATCTCTGTGGGGCTGTGCCATGCTCCTGCTGCTCCCAGCTGTACATGCATCCCTCCATCCCTGGAAAAGATAGCAGAGAATAAGCATTAGGGTCTCTCCATGTGCTGGACATGGATGGTGAGGACAACAGCTCCCCATTAGCTCCCACCACACAGCAGCATGATCTCTGTTCCCACCAGGTAATGTCCCACTGCCAGGACACCCACTACCATGCTCTGTGCATGGCTGAATATAGAACAGGTTTTTACTCAGGACGAACACAGCCTAGGGTGTCCTGCATGGAAACATGGTGTGGTGCCTTTACACAGGCACTCTCCATCCAAAACTGCTCAGCAAGTTCAAGCCTGGGGTGCTACTGCAGAGAAAGCTGAGGCACAACCGTGGTGGAGACAGGCAGATCCATGAGTGTGCCATGATACCGTGAAGTCCCACTGGGGGCCGTGGCACCCTCAGCTCCACGTATCCCAGACCAGCTGTGCCGTGGCTGCAGTGGGGAGAGGGACCCACATGCTCTGCAGAGGTCCCATCCTGGGCATGGCTCTGCTAAACGATGGCCATGGGGTTTCACTGGTGACTGAGGAGGGGAATACTCATCTTCCAGCAAGGAATAAAGGCAAGCTCTCCAGAGAGGACTAGGGATTTCCTCACTGCTTGAGCAGCCAGCTGGCTGGGTGTGAATGGGTGCTCGGGGTGACAGGTTGCAGCAGTGGAAGGGGTAAAGCAGCTCGCAGGGTGTGGGGTACTTTCCTCCTCGAGTAGGAGTGAGGTTCGGGCTGGCATGTGGTGCTTGGGCTGTCCCCAGCATGGCAGGGGAAGGGGCAGCAAAGCTGTCCCCAGGATGGCACAAGGTCCCAGCAGGTTTCTGGCTGGGCACAGCTGCACATGGCCACAGCTCCTTCTCACCATACTGTGCTTGTGTAACTAATCTGTTAATCTTTCCTGTGCAGGGACCCAGTCCCAGGAAGGGAAGAGGTCCCAGTGCACTCAGGAGTACTATCAAACTGCTTATGGAGTGGAGGAGACAGATAATGGTCACAGTCAGATATCCCCATCACACGCCATGTGACAGCTAGCCCTACGTGCATAGCAGCTCTCTGGGAAGAAAGTGCTTGACCCCACAGATCCCCCCTACAGATCACCACATCTCACCCTGTGGATCCCAGCTGCTGTGGTTGCCTCTGCCCATTGGAAGGGAACCATGGCCCAGGGATAGCTCCAGGAACTGTCAGAGGAAATCGATGCCCTTGCCAGAGCCTACCCAGGCTGTGGTGGCACTGCTTCTGCTCCCCACCGGCTTACATAACTGCAAACCTGGGCTCTCACATCTTTTAGGGAGAGGCAGAGGTGGAGGTTGAAGGGAAGAAGCCAAGCCTAAGGAATTGCAAGCCATTAAAAGCCTGCCCTACTTTTCATGGGGAAGTGTATTACAGCTGCTTATGTTTATGGGCCTCATTTAAATAAAAGCTCTTCATGGAGAGGAGAATAAAGAAGAGAAAGTGGGAAGCCAGGTGACTCAGAGCCAGCCGTGAGGACGTGTGCCTGAGTAGGTGGACACCAGGGATAAATGTACCTTTGTCCTGGCTCCTGAAGGATGTGTCAGTCGAGGATGTAGTGTTCAGCAAATGTTAGCATGGGATTCAAAGTCCCCAAGCTGGGACCATTCTGTGTCCATTGCTAAAGTCATGCACAGCAGGGAAAACTGGCATGTTAAAATCATTTCTCAAACAGGAATTGCCCAGAAAGAAACCAAAAAGATGGGGGGAGGGGATTCACGTGTCCTTCTAAATGGTGATTCCCAGGCAAGGCACTCACTGCAGCTCCACTCTTACCAGCATCTCTGCAATGTCTTGTAGCTACCATTTAGGGCTTTGGTTTGTTCTTTCTTGAGGTTTTGGATAAAAATATACAGTCACTGCTGTAACTGCTTTTAAACTCATGCCAAGTTTTACAGGGGATTTATAGCCAAGAATAGACAATTCCAGATAAATTAGGTCTTTCAGAAGGGAATAGCACTTTTTTCCTTTCCCCCATAAGTATTTATGCCTTCAAAAGACAGTGGTTATTTAAAGGGCAACGGGTACAACACAGCGCGTTAAGGTTAGGAAGCAGCTTGCTTGTAAATCCTGCCCCTTTGCTCCTGTGTGCTACATGTGTGGTCTGGAAGCTGGGGGAAGGACAGGCTTCCAACCCAAGCTATCCTCATGCTTACGTGAAAGCACACAGAGGAACCCTACCCTACCTCTCAGTAAACACCCAGGGCAGTGGGCAACACTAATTCATGGTGTTTACAACAGCAGCAAACAAGTCTTTCATTGCTGGTGCTGAGCAGGCTGTTTTCAGCAAAAAAAGAGTGGATTCTTTCCTCCCCTCACATCCTAACGATTTGTAGCAGCTTGGTATGGGTTTGGTACACATGTTCATTTGCTACCATGACCTTCCAGAGTGGAGTAAGGGGATCGTGGGGCTGAGCTGAATCACAAGGCTCAAGTGCTGCTTTCTCTTGGGTTAAATCTGTATTACCCAGGGCTGTATTACCTCTCTTGCCTTTTGGAAATAGTTTCAAGCTTTTGCTGCAGTGCAAGCTCTTCTTTCCAGCTGTGCAGTAGCTGGTATTTTTCTCACTTCTTGCAGCCTTGGTGCTATATGGAAACATGGAGGTCTGTACCGATCCATGGAGCAGAGCTCGCCTGTTTGCATGAAGCGTGACCATCCTACCAGCAAGGGGGCACATAAAACTCTCCTTGGAGGACTATTAAAAAAAGCAGGTAGTTTTTAAGCAACCATTACTCCGGAAAATCCCAATTCATAATTTTTAAATGACTGCATTTGACAGTACATCCAGAAACCGCTTGAGAAATGTGCTGGATAAACAAGAAAATGAGCATGTCAGTCACAAGAGCATATCTGAGGCAAATATTTGTTTAGACAAGTATTCACAAAATTCTTCCTGCAGGAATTCTTGTAAATAAAAGGCAGCTCACCTGAACGTAATGAGCTCGGAGTGTTACGGTTGCCAGCGAGCCAGACTGGCAGCTTCCTAAGGGAAGGAATCTAGTACCCTTTGCATCCCACTCGGTGTCAGGGCTCCCACAAGCAGGTATTGCAGTGATGCTTCACTCTTCGCAACTATAGGCCTCCTTACCAGGACAAGATTCAATCCATAACTGCATATTCTCCTGTACCGCTATCCTATGCAAACATTTCTGTTGCCTGCACTGGAGTGAGCAAACACACTTGGTAACACCCACAGCAGCTTGTGATCAGCTGGTGAGACGCAGCCCAAGAGGAGTATCCAGCCACACCAGTGAAGACTGACAGCACAGCACAGGGATAGGCAGCAGCATCATGTCCCCTCTCCACCTGGTGGCTTTCTTGGGGACACCCCATTTCCCGGTGGAGACTGCCCCTTCCCAGCATCCCTGCAGGGCAGGAGGGGTTGCAGTGGGAATGGGGGAAGTCCACTGATTTCCTGAAAAGACCTGGAGGTCCTGCAGGTGGGTCTACACCTAACTGAAGTGCAGGGTTTGTACTCTTCACCTCTGCCCTGCTTCCTCTGGCACCAAGCAAAAATGAGCAGCAGAGGTGCAGCCAGCCTCTGTCCTTATTGCTCTGGTCCCTTTGTTCTGACTGGAGAGTTATTTCTTGGTCTCATACCTGTTTTTCCAGCCCTCATGGCTGCTACAAAGCACCTGCAGTTGCCTGAGGATGTAGGTACTATTATCCATTATGTATCCACTATTATTACTAGGGACAACGTAGACCCCCTCAGGAAGCTCTCGGGAGAACTGGCTACACAAGATTTGGAGAAGGCTGAGGTTCTGAATGACTTCTTTGCCTCAGTCTTCACTGGAAAAGGCTCTGACCGCACCACCCAACTCTTGGAAGGCAGACGCAGGGACTGTGAGAATGAAGACCTTGGGCCCACTGTAGGAGAGGAATTGGTTCGAGACATCTTAAAAATCTGAACGTGCACAAGTCCGTGGGTCCGGATGAAATCCATCCGTGGGTCCTGAAGGAGCTGGTGAATGAAGTTGCTAAGCCTCTGGCCATCATATTTTAAAAATCATGGCAGTCAGGTGAAGTTCCCAACGACTGGAAAAAGGGAAATATAACCCCCATTTTCAAGAAGGGGAAAATGGATGACCCAGGGAATTACAGACCAGTCAGTCTCACCTCTGTGCCTGGCAAAATCTTGGAGCAGATTCTCCTGGAAGGCATGCTAAGGCACATGAAAAACAACAAGGTGCTTGGTGACAGCCAGCATGGCTTCACTAAGGGGAAATCCTGCCTGACCAATTTGGTGGCCTTTTATGATGGGGCTACAGAACTGATGGACAGCGGTAGAGCAGTTGATGTCATCTACCTGGACTTGTGCAAGGCGTTTGACACTGTCCCACACGACATCCTTGTCTCTAAATTGGAGAGACATCAATTTGATGAATGGACCACTCAGTGGATAAAGAACTGGCTGGATGGCCGCATGCAAAGAGTTGTGGTCAATGGCTCAATGTCCGGCTGGAGACCAGTAACGAGTGGTGTCCCTCAGGGATCGGTGTTGGGACCGGTCTTGTTTAACATCTTCATCGCTGACATGGACAGTGGGATTCAGTGCGCCCTCAACAAGTTTGCCAATGACACCAAGCTGTGTGGTTCAGTTGATACGCTGGAGGGAAGGAATGCCACCCAGAGGGACCTTGACACACTTGTGAGGTGGGATGATGCCAACCTCATGAAGTTTAACCATGTTTTTTATTTGCTATGTACCTGTAGAATCCCTTCTTGTTATCTTTAATATCCCTAGCCAAGTTTAATTCTAACTGGGCCTTATCTTTCCTAATCTAGGACAAGGGGTAATGGGTTAAAACTTAAACAGGAGAAGTTTAGATTGGATATAAGGAGGAAATTCTTTCCTGTTAGGGTGGTGAGGCACTGGAATGGGTTGCCCAGGGAGGTTGTGAATGCTCCATGCCTGGCAGTGTTCAAGGCCAGGTTGGTTGAAGCCTTGGGTGACATGGTTTAGTGTGAGGTGTCCCTGCCCATGGCAGGGGGGTTGGAACTAG